GGGGGGGGGGAGAACTCTCCCACAACTACCCCCAAATCCAAAGGAAGAGTGACCTCAAACTTTGAATAGAATGGTAGTAAGAACACATATAGTACAACTCATGTACTGTAAGTCCTTTCTCCCTTTGGGCCCTACAAAGTCCTTTGGGACCTGGATACCAATATCCCTTGAGTACAACTCAGATGGGCTCTAAGGATCTGCTTCTTTCTTGAGTCTCTCTGCCATAAGGAGATCATTCTCTTTGAAGCTGCCTTCTTTCCCAAGAGGCTATCCTTTTACATCTGTTTGTCCTTAGTACTTTTGTTCATTGGCTAGATACATTATTTCCTACTAGTCCAGCATCTTCAATGACATGGTAAATAAGTTGAGAGTGAAGGATACATCCCCTTCTCCTCCCAAAAAGTAATTTCCCTATCATGAACCATTTTTTCTTCTTCCACTTCTAGCTCTAATTCTCAAACCTGGAATCCTCAACACCCAACCTTGAATCTTCCATTGCTAAAGTAGAGAAGTCTTGAACTGACTTGTTTTTATATCCAGGCCCAAGGGGTGTGACCAATTCTCTCAGCCAAGCACAAGTTTCTTGAATGACATCAGTAACCTTTATACCATGGCTAAGTCCTATAATGTTCTCAAACTCATAAAAAATCATTCATACATTGTCTTCAGAGTTGTAGGAAAATACCTTAACATTTACTTTACTCTTGCCAGTCAATGACTGTGCAACTGTGCCAGTTGCAATGGGGTAGGAATTCCCTGTTCTCAGTCTTCTGAAATTGCATTGCTTAGGGTGTGGAATGGAACCCTATTCCTTAGATAGGTAAGGAAACTGAGCTCACAGAAGATTAAGTGATTTGCTAAAAGTCACGCAAATAGAAAGCCACCAGATCTACTGGGATCTTCTAATTCCTAATTCAATATTCTTTCCACTGCACCATGTGATCCCCAATATCCACTCAAACAGTTGTTAAATGATGAAAATAAGGACAATGTGACTATTTTTCTTTGTTTTATTTATGTGAAATTTTCAGAATGTGAAAATGAAATAGATGCTGTTTTGTTTATCAAGTTTAATATTTCTTGTTTTAAATTTGAAATGGATGACTTGAATGCTTTATATTCCCCTTTGAAGAAAAGAGCTAAATTAAGTTACTTTTTACTTGTGTATGGCTCCTGACTTATCTCGTATGTAGAACAGTAGTCCTCACCAGAAACAAGCTCTGTCCCTCCTCATCTAGTTTATCAGCATGGAATCTCTTCTTCCAACCCACTTTATGTTCCCTCTTGAATTATTATTATTGAATTATAAAAATTACCCAATTACCTTCCCTTTTTTCTTCCACTTAACCTTCAATAGAATAATAACAATAATAACTGGTACTGAGATAGCATTTTAAAGTTTGCAAACTGCTTTACATATAATCTTTTTTTTTAATCTTCAAACCTTGGTGAAGCAGGGACTATAAGTATCATTATCTTCAGTTTAAATATGAAGAAACTAAGACTCATAGAGGCTTAGTAATTTCTCTAAAATCAATCACAAAACTTGTGGGGAAAAGCAGAATTTGAACTGTGGATTTCCTGACTCCATGTCTAAGACTTTATAGATCAGAGGAGAACATAATCATTTCTAAAGTCAGTTAACAAGGAAGAAAGTTTCTTACTTTTTGACTTAATTTTTTTAAATTTACTTTTCTTGGTGAAAACTGGACAGAAATTGAGAGGTATCAGAAGAAAAAGGGATCCAGGATGAAGAGGTTCAAGAAACACCTCCTGTAGAAACCAGTGTGAATTTGGTCTCTGAGTATGGAATTCAACAGAGCACAGTTTGTAAAAACATATCTATAGTCCTCTTTCAAACACTTCCTTTGTTTAAGCCCTGCAAAAGAGAAGACTTAGAAGGAAGACGTTCTCTGTCTTCAATGCCTAATGAACACTTTTAACTAAATGTCCCCACATTCTTTGAACTTCCCTATTTCTATCAGGATACTGCCATCTTTTCTGATGTCAAAGTTCTCAACCTGAGTCTTCCTCAATTCTTCACTCTCCCTCAACTCACATATCCACTTAATTGCCAAATCTTCCAAGTCCAACTCTGCAACATTTCTATACTGAGAATGCCGCCATCCTAACTCAGGTCCTTGTCATCTTTCACCTAGACTTCTGAAAGTCTCCTAATTGGTCACCATGCCTCGCCAAGCCATAATCCATCCACCTATCAAAGTAATTTTGCTAAACCTTTTACCTATGTTACTGTCATATTGACTATGTCAATAAACTCCAATGGCTCCTTATTACCTCTAGGTTCAAATACAAACTCCTATGTCTGGTATTTACAGCCCTACACAGCCTAGATTTCACTTACCTTTCCAGGCTTCATATACATTACTCTCCTCCACACACTTTAAGGTCCAGCCAGACCTTACACACAGAATACTCTATTTTGTTGTTCCTCACACAGAATACTCTATTTTCCATCATCATGCCTTCCCATCATAACACGGGCTGTCCATCATGCTTGGAATGCACTCCCACTTCACCTCTGCCTTGTAGGATCCCTAGTTTCTTTCAAAGCTCAATTAAGTGTCACTCTCTATTTCATTTTATTTTTGTCAGTGGGAGTTAGGTAGGAATTAACGACATCTTTCCTGAGCTCCTCCCACCAACTGCTACCTCTCCAATTACTTGTATTTATTTTGAATCTGTTTTGTATATGCAGCCTCAGAATCAGTAAGACCTGGGTTCAAATCCTGCCTGTGACACAAACTAGCTACATTACACGATCCTGAGCAAGTCATTTAATATCTCGATGCTCCCAGGAAACTCTCCAAGACTAAACTGCAGAGCAGCAAATCAATCAGCATTGGTAAAGAGAGTTTCTTTCACCAGGACTTCTCTATACCAAGCACTAGGCTTAGAATTAGGAAGACTCATCTTTATGAGTTCAAATTCAGCCTCAAACACTTACTAGCTGTGTGACTCTGGGCAAGTCACTTAACTCTATTTGCCTCAGTTTCCTCATCTGTAAAATGAGTCGGAGAAGGAAACGGAAAACCACTCCAGTATCTTTGTCAAACCTCAACATGGGATCTCAAAAAGTCAGACATGACTAAACAACTACAAATTTTGATTACTCTTTCATGCTTACCTTTTCATGCTTCTCTTGATTCTTATGTTTGAATGTCAATTTTCTATTAGCTCTGGTCTTTTCATCAGGAATACAAGAAAGTCCTTTATTTCGTTAAATATCCATTTTCCCCCTGAAAGATTACACTCAGTTTTGCTGGGTAGGTTATTCTTGTTTATAATCCTAGCTCCTTTGCTTTCCAAAATATCATGTTTCAAGATCTTCACTTCTTTGACATGGAAGTTACTAAATCTTTCATGATCCTGATGTGCCTCCACAATATTTAAATTGTTTCTTTCTGGTTGTTTGCAATATTTTCTCCTTGATGTGAGAGTTCTGGAGTTTGGTTATAATATTCTTGGGAGTTTTCATTTTGGGATCTCTTTCAGGAGGTGATTGGTAGATTCTTTCCATTTCTATTTTACCTTCTGGTATTAGGATATCGAGGCAGTTTTCTTTGATAATTTCCTGAAATATGACGTTTAGGATCTTTTATTTATCACAGCTTCTAGGTAGTCTGATAAAACTTAAATGATTTCTCTCAATCTATTTTCCAGGTCATTTATTTGTCCAATGAGATATTTAACATTTTCTTCTATTTTTTGCATTCTTTTGACTTTTATTTTAATGTTTCTTGATGTCTCATAAAGCCATTAGCTTCCACTTGCCCAATTCTAATTTTTAAGGAATTATTTTCTTGAATGAGTTTTTGCATCTCTTTTTCCATTTGACTGATTCTTCTTTTTAAGAAATTCTCTTCTTCAGTGAATTTGTGGGCCTCTT